TGTATGTATGGATTGTGATAAGAGTTGTATGAGCCCCCAGTAAAATGATTTAAAGATTAAGAAAAAAAATCTTACTTCTGACATAAGAAAAAACAAACCTTTTTTTGTGTGTGTGCCATGTTTGCTCATTAAACAAAGTTCCTCCTGAAATAAAGTTAATTCTGTGTTTCCAAGATTTTGAAATCAAATGTAGTAAAGGTACTCTTCAGGTCACTGGTCTTTTAAACCAAACTTTTTTTAGGGCGTGGGGCGAGGCAATTGAATGAAAACCACAAATGAATAGCCGATGTCTCTGACCTCAGCTCACCCTTATAACGGACAACAGGTCGCTATTGGGACTATCTGTTGCCAATCCTAATAACTGGAGTAAGAAGAGAGCTTGATAAGGAAGGCCCGGGTGATGTAGTGGGTTCATAATTGGGCTGCTAACTGCAAGGTCAGCGGTTTGAAACCACCAGCCTCTCCGAGGGAGAAAGATGAGGCTTTTCACTCCTGTAAAGAGTTACAGTCACCTAAACCTACAGGGGCAGTTCTACTCCATCCTGTGGGATCACTGAGTTGGAATCAACTTGATGGCAGTGTTTTGTTTTGGTTTTTCCTGTATAAAAGGTCCTGGATCAACTTTGGGGAAAATATTGGGCTCAGTTTGAGGCGCCACAGTTTAAAAAGATAGAGGAGTGGTTTTATTATTATTAAAAGATCATTTTATTAGGGCTCTTACAACTCTTATTACAATCCATACATCAATTTGTATCAAGCATATCTGTACATATGTTGCCATCATTCTTTTCTAGACATTTACTTTCTGTTGAGCCCTTGGTATCAGCTCCTCTTTTTGTCCTCCCTCCCCTACCCTCGTGACCCCTTGATAGATTATAAATCTCCTTCCCCCATGGTTTCTGTTCTTCCCCCTGGAGGGGGGGTGTATGGTTATGTGTCAGTCATTACAATAGGTTTTCCCCCCCTCCTTTCTTCTACCCCTCTGGTATCGATGTTCCCACTCCTGTTCCTAGATTCCGTGTGTTGTGAGCCCCCCTCTCTTATCTACACCCATGTGCATGCTCTGGTCTAGTCCGAAGTGAGAAGCGCACCGAGGTCATGATAGTTGGGGGAGAGGGGGCGGTGAGGAAGCCTCAAGGAACCAGAGGAATATTGTGTGTTTCATCAGTGCTTTACTGCCCCCTGGTTGACTCATCCCTAGCCTGTGACCCCTCTGTGGGGGATGTTCCATTGTCTACAGATGGACTTTGGGTCTCTGCTCCAACCCCCTTGTTCTCGCGATATGTTTTTTCATGGTTGGTTTGTTTGTTAGGGGTCTTCTGATGCCTGTTACCCAGTCCCGAGGACACTTCGTGATCCCGCAGGCTGGTGTGCTTCTTAGGAGGAGTGTTTTAAGGACGGTCAAATGATTCTACATTAGGAACGTTAAGGAAAGTTTCTCTGTGTAAAAAAAAAGTCTGAAATACAACCCTCTCCCCACTCAATTCACAATAAACTTATTTTTTAAATCATTTTATTGGGGGCTCGTACAACTCTTATCACCATCCATGCATACATCACTTGTGTCAAGCACATTTGTACATTCGTTGCCTTCATCATTCTCAAAATATTTGCTCTCCACTTAAGCCCTTGGTATCAGCTCCTCATTTTAATAAACTTTTTTCAAAAAGGAAATGTTCAAAGATGAAGTTGAGTTGTAGTTGAGGTTTTGGGGAACAGACTTGGTCCTGGACACATATGAGCTTATTGTTGAACTTTTAAATATCAAGCTCCTTACCCTGGAAGATTTTCATGGGAGCACTGGGGTTCATTCTGAACTCCGTGCAAAAAGGGGCTGAGGGGAGAGAGAAGTCTTAGGCCTTGTAAAACATTGGAGTGGACTCTACAGGCCTCTTTTGGAAAGGAAGCTGTGAAATATAGGAAGATCATCTGATTTTTGAGTACGTTCAGCTGTAGACGTTGACTTAAGACTGTAGACAAGAAAGCTATTGTTATTAGGTGCCATCAAGGCAGCTGCAACGCACAGCAAGCCTATGCACCCAGAGGAAACACTGCCCTGTCCTGAGCCAGCCTCACACGTCGCTGCAGGCGAGCCCATGGTTGCAACAACCATGTGGTTCCATGTTGTCAAGGGTCGTCTTTTGCACTGCCCTTCTATTTTACCAAACACAAAATCCTTCTCCAGGGACTCATCACATGTCCAACGTCCATGCATCCAAGTCTTAGTAACTTTTCTTCTCAGGAGGACGCTGACTGCACTTCCTCCAAGACCAATTTGCTTGTTCTTCCGGAAGACCATGCTTTTCAGTGTTCTTCACCAACACCGTCATTCAGACGTATCGACTCTTCTCTGGTCGTCCTCATGCATCGTTCAACTCCCACAGGCATACGAAGCGACTGAAAATACCACGGCTTGGGTTAGGCACAACTTAGTCCTCAAAGTCACATCTTTTCTCCTTAACGCTTTGAATAGATCTTGTGCCGCAGATTACCAAGAGTGAGATGCCGTTTGATTTCTTGACTGCTGTTTCCGTGAGCGTTGATTACAGATCTAAGGAAAATGAAATCCTTGACAAGTTACATCTTTTTCTTTTTCTCAC